TGTGTGTGTGTGTGTGTGTGTGTGTGTGTGTGTGTGTGTGTGTGTGTGTGTGTGTGTGTGTGTGTGGTAAACCACAAGCCGAATGTCTGTCATCACCGGGAAGCACAGAGGCACAGACATCCGGAACACAGCAGCTCCCTCCTAATAATGTTGCAGGCACTTGATACATGCTCGATCGAGCGATGTATAGGAGCCAAGGATCTGCAAAGTGATGAAAATGACTCGAATGGACAATGCAGCATCAGCAAGCATCAACAAGCACTGTAAATCCAGATACATACGAAAATAGCACAATGTAGCGCAGCGGACGATTCAAAGATATGACCTGACCTGTCAGATACTGACGCGACACCTCATCATACACCACACATGCGAGAGAGAGGGGAGGGACCGCATACATAGAAGAAAGGTCCATCCTTGAGCACTAACATGGGGGCGGGGGGGAGGGGGGGGGTCCACGGATGAGGAGATGGCAGAAGAGGCGAGACGAAGATGGGGATGAGGGAGGAGACCAAGATCGCGATAGCGAAGTCCAAAAATAGTCTCCCTGCCGAATGTCCGATCAATGCCTGCCACAAAATGTTGAATCAGATCCTGGGCCTCATAGCCCGATGTAACCTCTGCCTGTAACCTCTCTCTCTCTCTCTGAAAGAAGAAGAAGAAGAAGAACAACAACAACAAGGTGGAGGGAAGAAGGAGCGCGAGAACAGGAAGAAGGAGAAGAAGATGTCGTCCTCCTTGCTGCCTCACCTGCACGAGGCCGTCAAGAGGTACTAACGCCGGCATGTTGCTGTGCTGCAGGTCGCTGGCACGGAGCTCTGCTATGGCACCCAGCTACGTACTCCGTCGCTGCAGGTATGGCCTTCACCCTTCTCCCTTCCTACGCCTCTACCTCTAGCGCAGCGCTGTATAGCGCAGCTCCAGCAGCGTGTCGCCCAAGAAGTGAGCACCTCGAACTGTGCCTGGAGCTGGGCTGGCCCAGCTATATACAACGCTGGGCCTGGCTGCGATGCCCAAGTCCTGCTCTTGGCCCTAGGCCTCAGAAATGGCCTGCCTGGGTCCCTACTGGACGTCCAGCCCCCCCCCTGCTGCTGCAGCAGTGAGTGTCTGCTACCGCACGAAAACAAACCTGCCCCGAAAGGGCCTGATCGGGAACGAAGAAGGCCCAAACGTGGCCTTTGTCCGGACAGACCGTAAGTCTGTTCGGACGAACTGCAAGTCCGAAACAACACCTGAAACAGACAAAAATAGAACAGCAAATAAATAAATAAATAAATGCTGCCTCAAATCGAAACCTCCGGAGAGAGAGAGAGAGAGAGAGAGAGAGAGAGAGAGAGAGAGAGAGAGAGAGAGAGAGAGAGAGAGAGAGAGAGTCATATCCATCATGAGAGGAGTGGCGGCGGCTTCACACAAAGACATGGTTATGGGTTTCCCCAGAAAACAGACTCGGCATAAAGGGAGAACAGACTCAGCATAAGCTCCCAGAGATCGATTCCAAAGCTTCCGCGCCCAGTGCACTTTTCAGGTTCATAAAGACCCAGGCGTCCGCACCTCGGATACTTAACAAAAACACTGTATAGATTTTGTGCAGGGCATGACGTACTAGGAGAACAACAAACCCAACAGAAGGCATTAATGAGCGACTGTTTCTCCAGCCTTTCACTGACTCATCCGGCAGCTGATGAACCCTCGACATTCTGTAGGATCTCCATATTGATGCTTTGAGCCATCGACTAATTCGACCAGAAGGTCCCCCCTGAATAACTCTGGTCTTAAGCTAAGTCCACATACAGGTGACACTGCAAGGCAGGTGACACTGTAAGGCAGGTGACACTGCAAGGCAGGGGACAATGCAAGGCGGGGGACATCGCAAGCAGCAAGGCAAGGGCAAGACGACAGCAGGCAGGGGAGAAAGCAAGCAAGCACAAACTAGAGAGGGTGGAAGCAGCGGGAGCGCTCGGGGGAGGAGGACGGGCAGCCAAACGACAGGCCAAGGAGGAGGAAAGCACGGTGAGTGGCAGAGAGCAAGGCAGCAACACAAGAAAAGAACAAGGTAACCAAGCAGCAAGGGACCAACCGGGCAGGACCTGGGTACTTTAACTATTCGTCCGCTGCCTCACTTGACCCAGGTGTCCGCACCTCAGTTGCTACACCCCTGAATTGTTGATGCTCTATTAGAAAGAACACGGGGGGATGGATGGGTGGGCTAGGTTATGCTTCTCGGCTCTTCCGCTGATTCTGGTATCTTTCATGCTTGCCGATAATAAGCAACCGGACTGGTTGCCCCCAGAATACAAGGGCTGTCTCTTATACACATCTAGATGTGTATAAGAGACAGCCCACTACCCTCATCACCCTAGTGTCGGTCATTG